GAGCGAGGGGGGGAAAGTGGGAAGGAGAAAAACTTCTCAGAAGGCGGCGGGGCTCCTCAGGAGCCCTCGCGCCCTCGGAGAAGTCTTCTGTGCCTTCGGGGGAGGCCTCGGAGACTTCTCAGAAGGCCTGGGGAGCTTCCGAGCCTCTTGATGATCATCGAGGAGAAAAATGGCCCGACTCCTCAGAACACTGTGAAGACGTAGCCTCACTGAAGTCTCCTCCGCGCTCCGCGCGCCAAGGAGGGGGGTCCAGCGCCGATCCGAGTAATCCGCGCGGACCTCCGAGCTTTGATGTTCATTTGATTGCTTGTCCCGCAAGTCCAGGAGCATCCTGAATCATCTGGCAAAACAAGCACAAGCGCACGACACCGAACACTATGCCTGGGGAGTGGACGTCCGAGCGATGGCAAGAGGTGGCCTGCTCAGCAGCAGGGGTCCACGCAAGATGGGATCCACCTCACCGAACCTCCCCACTCCAACCAAGAGGCCCCAACTTGCCCTCCACTCCCAGTGTGGTGGTGGGGGGAGCGTCGGGAAGGACTGAAACCTCGCACGTGGAACCCGTGCCACCTCCCCGCCCCCAACCCGAGATTTGGGGCTGGGTTGGGGTGGTCTGGTGGGTAGCCGGTGACTGATTGGCAAAGGTCGCCCCGAGGGGTGCGCGCAGAGAGCCGAGCCTTTGCGCATCGCGGCCTGTGTCGGCCGAGGCTGGTTGGGGCGCCCTTCCCCAGGGCGGCGGCGCGAGGGCGCGAAGGCGGCCGCGCGTCTCACACCGCGGGTGGGCGAGGTGCGAAGGTTGGGGTGCCCTGGGGAGCGTCTGCGTCCTCCTCCTCCTCGTGCTCCACCTCCGTGTCCTCCTCCTCCTGCTCCTCCTCCTCGTGCTCCTCCTCCTCGTCCTCTTCGTGCTCCTCCTCGTCCTCCTCCTCCTCCTCCTCCTCCTCCTCCTCCTCCTCCTCCTCCTCCCCCTCCTCCTCGTGCTCCTCCTCCGTGTCCTCCTCGGGCCCCCGACAGACTCCCGATGTTGCCCGCTCAGTGAGCAGGTGGAGCGTTAGTCGGGGGAGAACCACGGCCCTCGAGCATCTGAATGTCAGGTGCCACCCGCGCGTAGGGATTCCCCCTGAGCAAGGACACCCAGCGCGGCTAAGGGATTGCCGCTTTTTCCTTGGTTCATTCGTGGCCCCCTAGTTTTTTCGGCGGAGTTCATTTGGATTTGCGCCTCCTCCTCCTCATCGGTTTCATCTTCTTCCTCCTCCTCCTCCTCCTCCTCCTCATCATCATCATCATCATCATCGTCAGGGTACTCCCCAACGCTAGGATTTTTGCTAGCCCTCGTGCCAGCTTGTAGCCCTGGGCGATCTCAACACCCCAAGCCCTGGGGTGCGGAACGCCCCTGGGTGCGCCACAAGACGTGCCGCATGGGTGGTGAGACCGCCCAGGCTGACCTGGCCCCGCGCGCAGGCTGACAACAAGGCCAAGAAGAAGGAGGCGGCGGCCTGCAAGCAGATCGACCAGCTGCTCTGGAAGGCGCGGGGTGCGCCTCCCTCTGGTGGCGGATGCACATTTGGACACACACACAATGTATCGGAGGAAGGAGAGGTGACACCACCACCACCACCACCACCACCACCACCACCACCACCACCACCACCACCACCACCCCCACCACCACCACCACCAGCACCACCACTACCACCACCACCACCACCACTACCACCACCACCACCCCCGCCGTTGCCACCACCATCACCACCACCACCAGAGTAGGGAGGCCACCTCCAGCGAGGGGGTCACGATGCCTCCTCGATCTGGTGATAGGGGATGTCTCGAGCGAGAGGGGGGACCATACCATCAGGAGGACCCTTCCTGGCTCCTCGCGCTGGTGTTGGTGGTGGTGCCACCTTTTTTATGTTGCTCCCATATGTACACATGTATGTATACATGTGTAAGCCGTGGCACGAGTACGTAAAGGAGTGGACTTGTACACATCTCTTTATACATACACGCGGGGCGCGATTCTGGTATAACTTGTGAGGGGGTCCCACGCGAGAGCGCGATCTGGGAAGAAATTGAGAACGTATCAGGCGGGAGCTGCTGTTGTTGTAAACCGGGGGCCAGGGGCCCAAGTCGGAACAAAAAAAAAAAAAAACGGTGCGCGAGCCCCGGGAGAAGCATATTAGTTGAACAAGCAGAGTGGTTACCGGGAGAGATCATCAACAATAATTCTTTAGAGATGAGATTTCGCCAACAGCAGCGACGACGACAATGAGAACAACGACAACAACGGCAGCAACGACATCAAACGACCATCCGCTCCACAGCACCTCTCACGCCAGCCACGCGCCCAGGGACAGCGAACGACCCCTCGGCCCCCTCTTCCCTCTGCTCAGTGCCCTCTCCCCGCCTCGCCAACACATTAGGTCCCAAAAAGGTCACGGCCTCGCCTCGCCTCGCCTCGCCTCGCCGCGCCTCGCGCAAGAGCTCCCCGCACCGCTCGCGCCCCCGCCGTGCCGCTGTCGCAGGCTCATAAGTCGGGCCTGTCCCTCTACAGGAGGCACCTGCAAAAACATCACACAAATAGTGGGGGGACGATCTTGGCACAGTCTTTGACAGCTTTTGGGCACTCCTTGGCTATCTTCTGATTGCCGTCGATGGTCGGCCTGTAGGAGGACACGCCCGACCAAAACGGCAGGCGTCGGCGCTGGGCGCGGCCGCTGCCGGCCGGCGGGGCCGCCGCCTCGGCGGCGCCGCATGGCGTGGGCGCCCGCGGCGCCGGCGCCGCAGGCCGCCCTGTTCGGCGCGGTGGCTGGCCCGTGGCAGGAGCCCTCGGGGGGCAGGTCGAGCAGCAACGAGGCGTCCTGGCTTGCCAGACCCCCTCCCAGAGGTCGAAGGTGTTGAAAGAATCAAGACGGAGGTTTTTCGCTACGCTCGGCCTCTAGGGGCCGTAGTCGGGACCCAGGACCGTCAAAAAACGGCTCCGGATGAAGAGGCGGTCTTGGCAAAGGGGTCGAGATTTCCAGGGACCCCGTGTTGAGAAAATCACGACATCGGATCTCTGGGCTCGGGTCATGGACAAACGTCATGGCAGGAGTTCCTCGCCATTTTCGGCCTCCGGGGCCCTCGCCGGTCTTCGGGGCCGTCAAGGAAGGCGCAGGATGAAGAACCAGTCCCGTGGAACGGGTCTGGAACTCTGGTGGTCGCGTCATAGCAAAGTCATGGCGTCGGATGCCTGGGTTTCCTATAGGCCCACCGATGAAGGTTCTAAGAACCTCGTTCGTGGTTTGCACGACACGTTCTTAGAACGCTTCTGGCGCAGACCGTCTTGTTTTCACACACGTCGGCTTCTTTCTGTTCTGAGAACTGTTCTCTGTTCTTGGAAAGGCCTTGCGTTCAGCGAGCATGTCGTGGTAGGCCCAGTGGGATGCAGGGGCGGTCGGTCTCAGCTCAAGTACAGGAGCGGTGCACGGCCGGGGCGGTGAGGTGCGGCATGTTCGTGCGGCGATGGAGCGCCGGCGATGCCGGCGATGGCGTTCAAGGTTGAGTTTTAAGTTGGGCCTGCCCCTTTGCAGGAGAAATATTGAAAAATAATCCAAAATAGTCTGGGGACGATTTTTTGAGCATGTTCTAGCTATGTTGGTGTATTTGTTGGACTATTTTGTATGTTTCGTCCAAAATCCCCCTGTAGTGGGACACCCCCGATTTAAGTTGAGTTCTGCGATGCGGAAGCTTTCAGGGACATGGTGACGCCAACGGGCCCCACGGAATGCAACCTTGAACGAACGGGGCCGCGATCGGTTCAGGGTGGATCGATAGACGCGGTGTCTTCTGCGCGTGCCGACGCCTCACGAGCCTTCCGTACACGGCCGAGGCAGTGAGGTACGGGCCTGCGTGTTTGTGCGGCTGCGAGGGAATTCTATGAGCTGACATGTGACATATGGCACCCATGCCCCACACTTCAGCGGGCAAAGAACTGTGTAATATCAGCTTTTCCGTTGAAGGTGGCGCCTGTCCCAGGGCGGCTGGAAAGTGTATACCATGTCGTGCCGCCGTAGCGGTATATATATATATGTTCCAGCCGCTCTGAGGCTTTCGTCCCCGACGGCGAAAAAGTTAATTCTATACCATGTTTCGCCCGTTAAATATCTATTTCCAGCCACGCTCAGAGGGGGGTGGGGGGAGGGGGGAGGGCTTCTTAGAGGCACCCTGCTTCTTAGAAGGCGCGGGCTTCGTTCATTGACTTAAGGCCGGCGCCTTTATGAGGCAGCCCCATACTGAGAAGCCGTCCCCCCTCCCTCCACCCCCTTGTGCGCGCCGCCAATGCGACGCTCAAATTTCTCGGGTGGCATTTCTGGGGTGGGGCGGCTATGGGGGTGTGTTGCCGGAGCGGGCTCCCCGCTTGGTCGGGAGCTCCCCTCGGGGTCCGACAGCATGAGCCCGTACCAATCACGGCTTCATCGCCTTGCCGTTCGTCAGGTCTTCCTCCTATAGGTTTGAGGGCGTGTTGCCCTCTCATACAACTTGGCGTGCTTCTCAAGGAGGTTGCAAGGATGACTGAAGAGAACCAAACAGTCAAGACGCTGAAGTTACGACCATTTTGTGTTCAGGAGAGGCTCTGGATTTCGGGCCGTTTCCGGAATCTAGGTCGGTGAACTTGTTCGCTGCCCAGGTTCGCAGTGATTTAGCGTTCCTGGCGATTCCTTGCGGTCGCACCATGATTCGGTCGGTGGATCGCGCCGCATCGTGGATGCATCGGCGTTGCATCCGTGACGTCTGCGATGCATCTGCGATGTCGGCGTGGAGCAGATGGGTCGTTATGCGGCGGTCGACTTGTGTGGCGTCGACGTTATGTTGCTGTCCAGGCCAGTTTTCCATATAGCTTTTCCTGCTAGTACTTTCCGGGGAGCTTGAGTTCGTATTCAGTTTCGGGTAGTGTTTCGTTCTCCAGCCGTGTGCTCTTGCGCCCCATAGTAGTAGTAATAGTAGTAGTAGTAGTAGTAGTAGTAGTAGTAGTAGTAGTAGTAGTAGTAGTAGTAGTAGTAGTAGTAGTAGTAGTAGTAGTAGTAGTAGTAGTAGTAGTAGTAGTAGTAGTAGTAGTAGTAGTAGTAGTAGTAGTAGTAGTAGTAGTAGTAGTAGTAGTAGTAGTAGTAGTGTAGTAGTAGTAGTAGTAATAGTAGTAGTAGTAGTAGTAGTAGTAGTAGTAGTAGTAGTAGCAGTAGTAGTAGTAGTAGTAGTAGTAGTAGTAGTAGTAGTAGTAGTAGTCGTAGTCGTAGTAGTAGTAGTAGTAGTAGTAGTAGTAGTAGTAGTAGTAGTAGTAGTAGTAGTAGTAGTGTAGTTAGCAGTGGCAGTGGCAGTAGTATAGTAGTAGTGTAGTAGCGTAGTACGTATAGTATGTAGTAGTAGTAGTAGTGGTAGTAGTCGTAGATGTCGTAGTCGTCGCCGTCGTCGCCGTCGTAGTCGTAGTCGTAGTCGTAGTCGTAGTCGTAGTCGTAGTCGTAGTCGTAGTAGTAGTAGTAGTAGTAGTAGTAGTAGTAGTAGTAGTAGTCGTAGTAGTAGTAGTAGTAGTAGTAGTAGTAGTAGTAGTAGTAGTAGATGTAGTAGTAGTAGTAGTAGTAGTAGTCGTCGTAGTAGTGGTAGTAGTAGTAGTAGAAGAAGAAGTAGTAGTAGTAGTCGTAGTAGTCGCAGTCGTAGTCGTAGTAGTAGTAGTAGTAGTAGTAGTCATTGTCATCGTCGTCGTCGTAGTCGTAGTCGTTGTCGTAGTTGCTAAGCAATTATCTATGCTGCACATCACAATGGCGCTCTGGTGCTCTCACCCACGCGCAGGCTTCATTTTCTTTGAGGCTCGCGCGCAGGCTTTCTGGGGTTCGCCCAGACCCGCCCCCAACAACAACAGCAACAACAGCAACAACAGCAATAACAACAACAACAACAACGCTCCGGCTCTATATTTCCTCTTTTCTCACTCAGAACTTTTGTTCGCCGCCCAAAGCCGCCTTTCCACCAAAACCGGTGCTCCCCCTCAATACCACCCTGCTATTTACTCAGGACCGGCGCTCCCGCCTCTTCGCCGCAACCAGACCCCCTTACAAACAACGACGCTCCCGCTCGATACTGCCGTAGTTTTTACTCAGGACAGGCACTCTTGCTCGCCGTCGACAACGGGCCCTCCATTAAAACCAGCGTTCCCACTCGATACTTCCTTGCTTTTTACCCAGGACCGGCGCCATTCTGCTCGCCGCCGAAAGCTGGTCCTCTAACAAAACCAGCGCTCCCGCTCGATATTTCGCGAATTTCTGATCAGGACGGGCGCTTTCACGTCGATGCCGCAAACGGCCCACCCTACAAGAAGTCGCCGCAAGCGCCCCGAGGAGGCGCCCATCAATTTTCAAGAACGCCCGAAGAGTTTGTCCAAGGGGTTCAAGAGGCTGTCCAAGGGGCTCCGGGGGCTCTCCCAGAGGTTGTGGGGTTTCTCCCAGAGATTTTGGGCCGTTCGGGCGTGGTGACACCTAGAAGCAAGGCATTGGCAGGATGATGGCGAAGGCGATGTGCCATCTGATTTGGAAGAGGTGTTGTCAAAACTTTTTCGGGCAGGACTTTTGGATAAGGGAATTTCAGGACCCTGTGTAACACACATCCCCATGAGGGGAGATATCTCATGATGAATGCATGCTGCCAGTAGCACTGTGCAGCATACGGATACAATGTTTGTTGTTGATGATGTTGTTGTAGTTATGGTCGTTATAGTCGTAGTAGCAGTAGTAGTAGTAGTAGTAGTAGTAATAGTAGTAGTAGTAGTAGTCGTAGTAGTAGTAGTAGTAGTAGTAGTAGTAGTAGTAGTAGTAGTAGTCGCAGTCGTAGTAGAAGTAGTACTAGTAGTAGTAGTAGTAGTAGTAGTAGTAGTAGTGGTAGTAGTAGTCGTCGTAGTAGTAGTAGTCATAGTTGTAGTCGTAGTCGTAGTTGTGAAGTAGTAGTAGCAGTAGTAGTCGTAGTCGTAGTCGTAGTCGTAGTCGTAGTAGTAGTCGCATCAGTCGTTGTTGTCGTAGTAGTCGTAGTGGTAGTTGTAGTCGTAGTAGTAGTCGGGGTAGTAGTGGTTGTAGTAGTAGTCGTCGTCGTAGTAGTATTAGTAGTAGTCGTAGTAGTAGTAGTAGTAGTAGTAGTAGTAGTAGTATCAGTAGTCGTAGTAGCCGTAGTAGTAGTAGTAGTAGTAGTAGTAGTAGTAGTAGTAGTAGTTTAATCAGGGTAGTCGTAGTAGTAGTAGTAGAGTAGTACTAGTAGTAGTAGTAGTAGTAGCAGTAGTAGTAGTAAGTAGTTAGTAGTAGTAGTAGTAGTAGTAGTAGTAGTAGTAGTAGTAGTAGTTAGTAGTAGTAGTAGTACAGTACAGCAGCAACAGCAGTAGTAGTAGTAGTAGTAGTAGTAGTAGTAGTAGTAGTAGTAGTAACAGTAGTCGTAGTCGTCGTCGTGGTAGTAGTCGTCGTCGTAGTAGTAGTCGTCTTCGTCGTCGTCGTACTAGTTCTAGTAGTCGTAGTAGTAGTAGTTGTTTTGCTTCTAGTAGTAGCAGCATCAGCAGTAGCAGTAGCAGCAGCAGTAGCAGTAACGGTTGCATTAGCAGTAGCAGTAGCAGTACCTGTAGCAGTGCAAGTATTAGTAGCAGTAGGTGTAGTTGCTCTAAGAAAGGTAGCGGTAGTGACACTAGCAACAGCAATAGCAAATGTAGCTATATCAATAGCAATAGGTGTTGTTGCAGAACTGGCAGAGGGAACAGCAGGAGGAGCAGCAGGAGCAGCAGCAGCAGCACCAGGTGGAGGAGCAGCGGCGTCGCCCCCTGAGGGAGGAGAAGCAGCAGCAGCAGCAGGAGTGGCCCGAGCCGGACCAGCGGCGTCGCCCCCGGGGAATTCCGAGAACCCTGGGCGAACGTGGTACCCTGACCCTCTCGAGTCGCGGCGAAACTCACGACGGAAGGTTTTTGGGTTTTCGGCCTCAGGGGACCCTCACCGGGTCTCGGGACCGTCATAAGACGATTCAGGATGAAAAGCCGATCCCGGGGAGGGGATTGGGTCCATACATCTAGGGGTCGTGTCATCAACAAATCATGAATTTCGGCGGTCTGGGTAACAGGGTGGTTCTGGGCTTCCCCCCTTGCGCGGACAGTGACACTTTACAGTAGGAAACAGAAAGCAGCACCATAGCATCGGAGACTGGGATTTTAACTGGCGCAGAAAGCAAGCCCCCGCCACGCAATCTGGTGGTCCGATGGGGGGGTCCCTGGAATTTGAGATACTTGGTTCTTCGGTTTCCGGGGCGTCTGGGACCCCTCAGCGGCGCCGAACACCGGCCCCAAACGACCTGAGAGGGCTTGCTTGCAGTCAGTCCAAGATGAGCCCCCAGTCGGCCCAGCTGGGATCCAAGATGAACTCGCGGATTTCAGGCAGCTGGTTTCGAATTGTAACGGACGGGGGGTCTATGCAAATCAGGGTCAGCCAGAGCGCCAGCTCTCGCAGGATCCTGCAAAGACAGGGAACCGGGTTGCACTGACCCGGGCTAGAGCGCAGGACCTTGCAGGATCCTGCAGGATCCTGTGAAGCCTGACTGGCCCAGGTGCGCGTAGACCTGGCACAGTAGAAGCCAGCAGGATCTCAGAGATTCTCGATCTATCGAATAGCAATACAAGACATCATAAACATGCACGCTTGACGGTCCGCGCGGATGTCTTGGAGCTGCGCCTGCCCCCCCCCCGCGCGCCAGGGGCGGGTGTCAGGCGCAGATCCAAGAAATCCGCGCGGGCCGTCGAAAATTAATGCTCCTGTCTAATTTACCCTCGCCCGATCTTGCAGTGGAAACCCATGCCAAGAAACACCCTGCTTGCCTCCAGGGTGCCCTGGGCTTCTTGGGTTTCGGTGGTTTTGCTGCGGAAAGCTTGACGCTCCCAGGCCAAGGGTCAATGCACGCCCTTGGGTCTCAGGACTGGGTTTCTCGTGGAAGGTGTCTTGCGGTCGAGCTCCTACTGCACCACTGCGGTCTGCGGCCCACCGCGGTCTGCGGCCTGCGGCCTACCGCAGCGCGCTCCGTGCGCCGCATGGCAGCGTGGAGGCCGCTGCGCCAGTCCACCATGCACGGGGAGTTCGCCCTGCCGGGTCCTGGGCAGCGCCTCCTCGGGGCGTGCGCCAGCTCTTCAGGCAGCTCCCGGGCGCAGCGCTCCCGAAGCCCGAAGCTCCTATGCGGAGCTCCTGCGGAGCGCGGCTTGGGCTCGGCCTCGACCTCGGGCTTCGTCTGCTGGCCCGACGATGACGATGAGACGATGACGACGACGATGACGACGACGATGACGATGACGATGACGACGATGTCATCATCGTCATCGTCATCGTCATCGTCGACGTCGCCGTCGTCGTCGTCGTCGTCGTCGTCGTCGTCGTCGTCGTCGTCGTCATCGCCCCCAGGAGTGGCCCGAGCCAGATCCGCTGCGGCGCGGCAGCGGCGAGCGGCCCGCCGGCTTCCCCTGGCGGGCCGACCTCGCGCCGCGCGAGCCGGGCTTCCACGACGTCTTCTCGGCGCAAGCCGCCGGGGCGACCGAAGCGCGCACCCAGACTCGGGAGACCCCCTCGAGTCGTGACGAACATCACGACGGGAGGTTGTTGGCAGTTTTCGGCCTCCGGGGGCCCTCCCCAGGCCCTCGGGGCCGTCAAAAAGATGATTCGGACTGAGGAACCCGTCTCTGGGAATGGGTCGAGCCTTTTCGGGGTCGATGTCATGAAGAAAAATCATGACGTCGGCGGTCTGGGGGTACCGATACCGCCACCCTCGCCTCGTTTTCGTTTTTTGGGGCCTCCCGGGAAGCCCTCGTCGCCACCGCTGGATTCGCCTCGAGGTTCTGGACAGAGCCCACTCCAGGAGAGGTCTGGGGACGGAGTAGGGAGTAGCGGTACTGCACTCTGTCTCTCGGCCTCCCAGCTGGGCTCGGAGTAGGTGGGGTCTCGGAGCCCAGACCCCCGACGTCATGATTTTTCATGGCGCGACCCCCAAGGGTCCGGACCCATTCCCCGGGACCGGTTTTTCATCCCGAGTTGTTTTTTGATGCTCCCGAGGCCCGGTAAGGCCCCCTCAAGGCCGAAAGTAGCGAAAAGCCTCCCGTCGTGACTTTTTCATTGCCCGAGGGGGTCTGGGAGGATCGCATCGCCGATGCATCGGCGATGCGGCTCGATGTGGAGCCCGATCTTCTCGGCGCCGACGGCACCGATGCATGGCCGATGTATCGCCGATGCATCGGCGATCCGGCGCGAACCTCTGGCACCACCTACCTACTCTGAAGTCGGGCATGTCCCTCTGCAGGAGGAAGATTCAGGAATAGTGAACGATTTTGGAGGAATCAATAGTATGGGGACGATTTTGGACTATTTTTATGACTTTTGAATATCTTGATGATTATTTTGCAGTTTTCGTCCAAAATCCACCTGTATAGGGAACATGCCCGACCTCAAACTACTCGGACCCCATCTAGGAGGCATCTGCTGTCGGAGCGATTGTTCTGGGCACCAAGACGTGCTCGCGTTCCGACGACCAGTGAGGACGGGCGGTTTCGGGCAGTTTTTGGGCCTCTGGGGACCCTCACGAGGCCCCGGGGGCGCTCAAGAGCTGCTCAGGATGCCAAACGAGTTCCAGGGAAGGGATCGTGATTTCCATGGGCCCATCACTGAAACAACATCAGGACATCGCATGGCTGGGTACGGGAAGGGATGCCTACGAAGACCCTGACCTTCCGATCGGAATGGGCACGCAGGGCTCGTTCCGATTCCTCCGATTCAAATCGATTCGGACTGGTTCGGATTCCAATTCGATGCGGCTTCGGATTTTTGGTTTTGATGTCGGTTTCTCAGTGGACGCCTTACAGGCCTGCCGATTTCCGCCGATTCGACTTATCCCAACTTGGGCTGCCGATGTTTCTCGTCGATCCGATTCATTTCGATCGCAGATCCGACTCTGGTACGGAAAGGGATAGCCACGATGACCCTTCGTCTTATCCCAACTCTGCTACCGATTTTCGTCGATCCGATTCGTTTCGAGCCCCGATGAAAGGGGTATATAGGCACGAAGACCCAGACCTTCGACGCACTGCAACATTCGTCTGCTGCTTCTGCCCCCCTTGGGGCCCTCGCCAGGCCCCGAGGACCGTCAAGACGCTCCTCGGAAGGATCCAGCCGGCCCCCCGGGCAAGGAGGGGCCCTGCAGGGGAGCCACGCGGCGCGGGAGTCTCGGGCCGGGCCGTCCGGGCACGGGAGGAGGAGGAGGAGGAGGAGGAGGAGGAGGAGGAGGAGGAGGAGGAGGAGGAGGAGGAGGAGGAGGAGGCGGAGGAGGAGGAGGAGGAGGAGGAGGTGCGCTTGCCGCTTAAGCTCTCTCTCTCTCTCTCTCTCTCCGGCCTCCCGCTCCTCGCCGCCGCGGCCGGAGGCCGCCCCGCGCCCAAATAGGCGGGCCCATGGGGGGACCCCGGGAGGGGTCGCGGGCGGGGCCGATGGGCCTCGGGCCCGGCGGGAGGGCGCCGCTCGGTATCGCTCCACCGATCCCCATCCCCCGTGCCCATCCCCTCCGAGGCCCCCACCAAAATACCACCCCCCCGTCTTCAGGGCACTGGTAATTATCAGGTAGCGTCTGGTATTCGATGAGATAGCGCCGAGTTCTTGTCGATGAGCGTCGATTAGTGTCGATTCGAGTCGATCAGCGTCTGCTCGCGTCGATTAGCGTTGGCCAGCGTCTATATTCAAGAGCCAGCAAGTTGGAAATGGGAAGCTCTCGCGAGTTGCCACAGATCATCGCCAACAAACGAACCCCTAATTACCCTTGATAACACTATGAAGACGCGGCCTCACTTTGGCCCTTATTTTCGCATCAGGGGATGATGGATCCAGGCGGCTTGGCCTGATACACCTGCAGACATAAGACCCCCTATCTCTACTGCTCCAGGCCCTCCCAACTCAGGTCGCCTCCCAAATGGTTAGGGGGTCTTCGTATGCCCATCGTCATGAATCTCATGATTTATGCGGGTCAGATGCGATGATGATGGGGACGACGACGATGACGATGACAATGATGATGACAAACCATGATGATGATGATGATGATGATGATGATGATGATGATGATGATGATGATGATGATGATGATGATGATGATGATGATGATGATGATGAGGGCGATTACGAATTCGATGATGATCATGACGACGTTGATGATAAGAATGACGTTGACGATGAACATGATTTTGAGGCTGAGTCGGTGGAGTCCGAAAGGCCCGCCCTAAAGATAGCCGGTGTGCCCAATCAACCTGAAGTCCCCCCCCTGGGCGCGCGGTCGACGTGCCTTCGGAATCGGGCGCGCTTGGCCGGATACGTCTGCACTCAAGCCCCCCTTATTCCTACTGTTCCAGGCCCTCCCAACTCAGGTCGCCTCCCAAATGGTTAGGGGGTCTTCGTATGTCCAATCAACCTGAAGTCCCCCCCCCCCCGGGCGCGCGGCCGAGACGTGCCTTTAGGAACCGCGGCGCGCGCCGTCGGCGTCGCCGCGGATGTTTTTGTTCTGTTGTTTGGCCCCTGCGGCACGAGGGGAGCCACGGAGCCCCGCGCTCCTCGAGTGGTTTTTGATTTGTTCGTAAAACAACGTTTTTGAATTCAAGAAACCTCCTGTCCTCCTCGGAGACTTTTTTATGATAGTAGAAACAGAAGCCGATGGTTTTTTTTGAGCTCGAAGCGCCTTCCTGTCCTCCTCGGCCTTCCCCCGTCTGCCGCGTCCTTCCTCCTTTCGTCTAGGCCCAAGAGTCGGGCCTGCCCCTCTACAGCAGGAATATTCCAGAGTGGTCAGAGCATAGTATGGGAGTATTGTTTGGCCGTTGTCGTATATTTTTTGTTGTTTTTGGCATTTGTTTGGTTTGTTGATTTTCGATTATCTTTTGGGTTCTTTTGAGTATTTTTGGGGTATGTTTCGTTTTTCGTCCAAGATCCGCCTGTAGGGAAACATGCCCGACCTGAGTCTAGGCCTCCCAGGTGGGGTCCGAGCGGATGGGGTCGGAGGATCTCGCCGTGTCGTCGATGCATCGGCGATGCTCGATGTTGAGCCCGATTCTGTCCACGCTGGTGCGATGCGTCGCCGATGTATCGGCGATGCGGCGCGATTCTCGGACCCCATCTACTCGGACCCATCTAGGAGGCCTTGACTTTCGAAACTTGCAGAACAAGAAACGACATGAACATACATTCTCGGAGCTCTGCGCGGATTTCCTGGATCGACGCCGGAGCCCCCTGGCGGCGCCTGCGGCGCCGCCACCAGCGCGCTCCGCGCGCCAGGGAGGGGATCCCGCGCCGATCCGAGAAGTCCACGGGGACCTCCGAAAATGTATATTCCTGTTTTTCGTGTTTCAGGAGGGGGAAACACTTGCAGACACAATGAATCGTCGATTCCCAGGAAACATGGGAAAATATGGGGACTGGGGGGGGGAGACAAAGACCCCGGCAATGCGGGAAAACACGGGGGGAATCCTGCTCCTTGTGTCTATTCGTGTGTGTGTCCCAGGGCCCCTTCAGTGCTCTGCTCCTCTCTGTGGGAGCTGGCACGGGAGCTCCGTCGCCGCAGCGGGGGCGGCCGCTGCAGGTGGCGGGCCCGGAGGGCCGGAGGGCCTGTGCCTCGCCCCTCCGTGGCGTGAAGTCGGGCCTGTCCCCCTGCAGGGAGATTTTCGACGAAGAATAAAACATACCCCCAAAAATACCCCAAAGAGGTCACCGCACGGTCTGTCACCGCAGCGGTTCGGGACTCCAGAGTGGCGGCATCTTCCGAAGCTCGAGCTGGGTCGCCTGCCCAGCAGAGGTCGCTTTGAGCCGACTGCGCTCAGGTCTGTGGTGGACGATCAATGGAGAGGAAGCGTGTTGCCAAGTAATTTCGGATGTCCAGAACATGTGTGTTACACATGTTTTAATAGACATGTGACACAACACATTATTAAAACATGTTTAGAACAATTTTCCAACGCTTTAAACACATTTTAAATACAATGATCGGACTGGTAGGGTGTCCATTGTCGTGGCATCCACAAGCTTAGGTCGGGCCTGTCCCCCTACAGGAGAAGTATTCAAACATAGTCAAACAATTTCTCAGGGGGTATTTTGACGTGTTTTGTTTTGGGGGAGATGAGAAATCTGGGGATATTTCTGAGGAGCATTCTGGGGAACTGTTGGGGGTATTTCTGAGGAGTTTTCAAAACACATAGCACAAAATGTTCAGAGGACGACTTCTGACTACGTTTGACTATTCTTTGTATTTTTTGACTATTGTTTATTTTTCATCCAACATCCGCCTGTAGGAGGACATCCCCGACCTGAGACTGCACGCAAGAGTGACCTTTCGCCGGAGTGGCACTTTGAGCGGGCGCACTGGGGTCCCCTGATGATGGAACGCGATGCGGTATCAGCGTCTTGCGCGCTCTGGTTCGGCCTCCCCGCGGCCCCTGAAAGTCGAGCACCACAGGTCGCTCTTGCCCAATTCGGCTCTCTCCCACTTGAGTGTTTTTTTTTGGAAGCTCCCTTTAACGTGCAGTACGGATTTCTTTGCACTGTTGTAGAGGCTACGAAAGGTTGCGGAAGGCCACTAAAGGCTGCTCAAGGCCGCTAGCTGCCACTAGGGGCTGCTGAAAGGCGACTCGTGGCCACTAAAGGCCGCTGATCATGCACGTATGCACTCAAGGCCACTAAAAGGCTACTAAACCGAGCCGGATCTCTTAGCTTATCCAAGAGACTGCTGCTGGTTTTGGGACAACATGTGTTTCTGGGCATCCTGCCTTTTTCTCCGTACCCCTTCCGATCCATGCCGCGCGTGCCGCCAGGCCTCGGACCTGCAGCTCGCTGCCCACCTGCAGAGGGAGGGCATGGCGGCATGGCACTGGCAGAGGAGCTCGAGGGGGACGTCAACTGCAGCGGGCGCGTGTACCCAGAGACCCACCACTTACCAAACCACCCCAACCCAACCCGAAGGCTTCACTTTGCCCTCCAATTCCGGTGGGGGAGGGGTCGGGACACATTGATGAAGCACTTGCGGAATCCGTATCCCCCCCAACCCGAAATGCGGGTCTTCGGGTTGGTTTGGGGTGGTCTGTTAGTTAGTCAGAGACCCGACGCCTTTTGGCAGGGCTCCTCGTGGTTCTTTGCGCTGCGCGCTGGCCTCCCCCGCAGGCGGTTACTGAGCTGCTGCATATCTGAAGCTGCTGGGCTTCCCCCCAGCTGCGCCTCGCGTGCGGGACTTCGGGGTTTGGGCTTCTTGCGAGGGCCGCGTCCGCACTGTACGCACTGATATTTTCCAACACCACCACAGGTTGGAGGTGGGAAGGAGGTGGAGGGGGAGGTGGAGGGGGAGGGGGAGGGGGACGAGGAGGAGGAGCAGGAGGAGGAGGAGGACGAGGAGGAGGAGCAGGAGGAGGAGGAGGAGGAGGATCCCCTCCCCCTCCAACTTACGGTGGTGGTGGTGGTGGTGGTGGTGGAAAACAGCCCCCTCACGCACACCACCGATCCTGGCTCGGGATCGGCCCGGCCGTTGGTGCCAAATGTACATCGCTCAGGAGCCCAACTTCGAGGCAGAGTGCAGCGCTTGGAGCTGAAGAGACGGTGGTCATAATGCAAACGGGGGTCAGTCAGGGCACCAGATCCTGCAGGATCCTGCGAAGACCCCTTCGGGCCGACCCGGGTCAGCTCGTGGCTGCGAGGCGGCCGCGCATGTTGGCTGACCCGGGTTTGCGAAGCCCTGCGTTGCAGTTGTTTTCCTGCACTGCAGTTTTTTGGTTTCCTGCTGACCCGGGTCTGATTGACCCGGGTTAGCAGATCCCCGAAGCACGGATCGTAACAAGAAGTCCATGTCGAACAAATAATTGCGTCCCCGAACCAAGAAGCGCTCACAACACAGGGTCCATCTTGATCTGATCGATCCGAATCGATATCGATTCTGCCCAGCTTGGTCCGATTCGATCCCACGGATGCGACGATCCGAGGTGGCCTGATGCTTGCGTAGCGCTTCTGTGCATCCTGGCGGTGGCCGATTCCGATTTTTCGTATGCAATCCCTGTCAGGTTCGATCAGCATCGGCGCTGGTAGATCTTCGTCGAAAGCAGGCCCAATCTGGCGTAGTCCTGCTCATTCCGCTTTATCCCGTTTCATCGGGCTTAGTTCTAGCCTTGCTCCAGGCGATGTCGGCCGAAGGATGCCTCAAGTATGGTTCCATGTCGCTCGATCATTCTTTCGAAGACCTCCCAGGAGTTTCCTCCGACCTTTCCCCAAATGTTGCCCTTCCATCGCGCGGGCTCCACATGTCGTAAGCCGTTTGTGTTGCTGCGTCTCGCGCTTTTCTCGGCTTAATGCGCTGCGTGGCGCAGGCTGTGTTAGTCTCGTAAGTAATCCAGCCAGCCTGGCCAGCCAAGCACAGCCAACCCACCCAGCACAGCCACAGGCGCGGCGCAACAGGAAGGCCCGCCTCCCCCGGCCAGGGTCGGCGAGGTGGGTCGCAGTCGGACTTCCCCAAGAGCAGGACGCTGCCCACGGGGCAGAAGCCGCTCGTGGAGGCCGCCGTGCGCCTGTGGGACCCCGTCTGGGGCGAGGTGCAGCTGAGGGAGCTCGCGCGCGACGGGCACTACGGGCGCAGGAGTCCAGGCCTCCCCAATGGAGCCCGAGCCGATGCATCGGCGATGCGGCTCGACGTGGAGCCTGGTTTTCTCCGCGTCGACGTCGCCGACGTATCGCCAACGTCGCCAACGCATCGCCGATGCGGCGCGATCCTCCGATCCCGTCTGCGTACTCGGACCCCGCTTGGGAGGCCTCGCAGGAGGTGGCTGCAGGCGTGCGCCTCGGCGCTCTTTGCATGCAGCCCGTGCTGTTTCGTCAGCCTGGCCCCCGTGTGCTTCGGGAAGGAGGTTCCGCATCGGGCAGCCTGTCCCCATCCCCACACGGGGCCACGGTATCTCAGCTTCCGCCGGCCCCGAAGGATCAGGCATACATCCCGCCTGGCCCGAGCCCGCCCAGAGTCCCCCTCTGGACCTCGGGGAACGAACACTGCCATCAACATCAAAACACGGAGGTCCGCGCGGATTTCTCGGATCCGCGCGGACCTCCGAGTTTTTCTGCTTATGCCACTTCTCGTTCCCCTAGGACCCCCCCTCAGGGTCCATCGGGACCCGTTGTCCGAGGTGGGACGAGCCGCGGCGGCGAGACCGATCCGGCAGGGCTGGACCTAAACGCTCTTTTGCTGGACTTCGGCCGTGTATTGTTCTGTGGCTCCGGCAGGAGGGGACAGGGCAACGGGTGGAGCCAAGCGAACCACAACACGAAACCCAAACGCAAAACAACGTCTAGGTGCAGCCCTGAGAGCCAGGAGGCCCCAGAAGGACGACCATCGCCAGGGGCGGCCGCCGCTGCCGCAAAACATGGGCCCCCCTCCGAGGTCAAGGCCGGGGGCAGCGCCGCGGACGCGCTCCGCGGCTGGCGCCGGCTGCTGCTCTCCTGGTCCCTCGCCCTCGCCGCGCCGCAGGCGCTGCTCTTCCTGCTCGTCGGGCTGGGGCTCGTGGCGGACGGGCTCACCGACGCGCAGCTCTTCGACCGGTGGGGCGCGAAGAACGCCGCGAAGGTCCTCTACCGCCACCAGTGGTGGCGGCTATCCCGCGGCGCCTCTCGGCGGCCTCTCTCCGCCCGCGCCCGCGTGCAGAGCTGCAGCGGCTTCTCTGCACCGGGCGTGCCTGGGCGCCCGGCGTCGGGCCCCCGGGCCGGCGTCGGCGCTCCAGACACGGGGGTCCATGCAAACGGGGGTCTCAAAAAAAACGAAGGATTGCAAAAACGAAGGATTTTTTGTTTGTCTTTTTTATATATTTTTTTTTGCAATCCTTCGAGGAAGGATTGCAATCCAGAGCGCCCGATCTTGCAGGATCCTGCAGGGCCAGGGTCGCGTTGACCCGGGCTTCTGGGTGCAGGATCTGGCAGGATCTTGCAGGATTCTGCAGGGCCGGACTGACCCGGGTCTGGATCGACCCGGGTCAGAAGATCCCCGTCGTCACAGGTCCATCCGGCTCGAGAAATGCCGCAGAAGGTTCGTGTCTTGGGCTCCGTGTTGCTTTGCGGTGCTACAGTTGTCTCGCAGCGTCGGATCTCAGGACCTGTCCAGGGCAGCTCGTGAGGCCCCAGGGGGGGGGGCGGGGGTCTGATGCGAGGCACGACCAATCCAGCGTCGAAGAACCCGAGGCGGCCCAAACAAAGCTTCAAGAGGGCTCTAAGACACGCCACGGAGCCAAGAGGCGCCAGCCATCCAGTCGGATTGGGGGCCATCTTAGGGGCCTCCTGGGACAATCTTGCTGCCATCTTGGGGGCCGCTGGGGCCATTCGTGAGCCTCTCAGGCCTTTAGGCCGTCTTGGGCCCTCAGTGGCTTCTCTCGTGACCGTGCCCTCCTTGTCCACGCCCGTTCGTTGGGCCGAAACTAGCTCAAAAAAGGCGACCGCCTAGAGATCTTTTCTTATTCATTGTTTCGCCGATCGGCGCGCACCCTCGCACCCTCTCCCCCTCCCCCCCCCTGTGGAGTATGTTTTTGGCGCCCGTTTAAGCAGGTGGAGTTTCGCCCATAGGACGCACTGTTGCAAACAGTCGCATTAAGCAGAGGTCGGGAGCCAGATCCGGCCCCTCCCCCGCCCTACAAGAAAAAGTTCGCTTACCGAGCTCGCACTAGTTCGTGCATGTCTTGCTTCATCCATGATACTTGCACCTTCCATGCCTTGGGAAAGACAAGAGGAGCCAGTGGAGGCAACTCACCATGACAAACAAGCGTACTTGGAACATTCGTAATTTCAACATAAGTCTTCTCCGTGGGCTTCGGATATGGCATAAGGAGGGGCCACCACTCATTGAGGGACGACCCCGCGAGTTCATTCTTTTAACCCTACAACCACTCGGGACCTCCAGGGATGGCCTCGCACGCGTGAACTAGCAAACAACCACGTGCGCAATCAGATGTCCGGTAGGGTCCATCACGCTTGGTGCCCGTTGGGCGAGCGAATTGACGCCCGCGCTCCTGCACAAGTCGTGGCTGCACTTCCTCGGAGACATGCTAGTCCAGCTGCGCGCCGCGTCGATGCTGGAGGCCGTCTGGGGGCACACTCGGTGGCTCATCATCTTCCTCCTCTCGGGCGCATTCGCTGGGCTGGCGAGCGCGATCTGGTCTCCAGTCGAAGGAGAAAAGCTGCATATGAGCATAACTCTCCGACGGTCCGCGCGGAGCCCCTGGATCTGCGCTGGGCCGCCCTGGCGGCGCCTCCGGCGCCGCCCCTGGCGCGCTCCGCGCGCCGGGGAATGGGGGCTCCAGCGCCGGTCAAAGAGCTGCGTGCGGACCGTCGAAAGTTGATGCTTCTGCCGTCTTTCGCTCCTCCACCCCGGACTCCCTCAGCATCGGCTCGTCCGGCGCGCTGTGTGGCATCGTCGGCGCCTGGCCGCCCTTCGTGGCGCTGACGTGGAGCCAGGCCCTGCCGCACGACCGGCTGCAGCGCGGCCGCCTCACTGCCCCTGTGGTGCTCTCCACCGCCCTGCTGGCGGCCCTCGGCTTCGCGCCCATCCGGGCGCCGGCGGGAGGTCTGGGAGGGAGGAGGGGTACGTACAGTCGGTGCCCTGAAGAAGGAACCCTTTTCGTTGGGGAGGGGCTCCGTGTCCCTTGATTGTTTCGCAGCTCGCCTCAGATTTACCGTAGGCTTTCGATACGAAAGCGAAGCTCAGCTTATGGAGAAAAGGGGCCTCGTTCCTTATTTAGGGTTCCTTAGGTCAACGCCCCCACTGTAGCGCGTCGGCGGCGAAGTCCGAGCCCTGACCTCGCCGATCCACGACTCGGGCAACTCGCCGGGCGGCGCGGGTGGGGTGCGGAATGCGTGGAGCAGGCGGCGGCATCCGAGCCCTGCCCCCTCGCTCCCCATCGATTCCAGAGAATCGATGGTTTGTGGGGGGAGGGTTAAGTCGGGCACGTCTCTCTACAGGAGGAACATTCCCAAACAAGTAAAACAGATCATGGATGTTTGAATATGTTTCTGCAATGCCAAATTTTTCTTCCCAAATCCGCCTGTAGGAGGACATGCTCGACCTAAGCGTAGGGCTCGGATGCTGCCACCTGCCGATGATATCCCGCCGCTCGTCCTCGAGAGCCCAGGCGTCGCCACGGCTGGCTTCTCTTGGTTAGAAATTCTGGCCCTGACGCGGCCGGGAGCCTTGAGAAGTGATGGGCAGATGCTCCACCACCACTACCATGTGTAGGACGGGGGAGAAGGGACTCCTCCTCCTCCTCCTCCTCCTCCTCCTCCTCCTCGAGATCCTCCTCCCTCTACCACCTGCGGTAGTGGTGCTGGAGAATTGGCCCATGAAGACGGGGGTCAGTGCAGACGGGGGTCAGTTGGAGCGCTGGATCTTGCAGGATCCTGCAGTGCCAGGGGTGCGTTGACCCTGGCTTGCGTGCAGGATCCTGCAGCTTCCTGCGGGACTGGATCGACCCAGGACTGGATCGACCCGGGTCAGCAGCGCCTCGAGAGATGGGTATCTTTTTTGTTTCCCTCGGACGCGGATCCCTGGCCCAAAGCTTGCCCTCAGGGCATCGGAGAGGCGGCCTCGAGAAGCGAAGCGCGGCATCGACGCACGGCAGCACAGCATCTCTTTACGTAACACCCCGCAATTGCGGATAAGAGTGAGGGGGCGGGCGCGGGCGACGCGGGCGTCGTCAAGCCGGCGGACCTCGAGGCCCCCACCTTCCCTGTCGATGGCGCTCTCCTCCTCCTCCTCCTCCGCCTCCTCCTCCTCGTCTTCCTCGTCCTCGTCCTCATCGTCGTCCTCCTCCTCCACCTCGTCCTCCTCCTCCTCTTCTTCCTCGTCCTCCCTCTCCCCCCCTCGTCCTTCCATCATCGTCCTGCTATTGTCGTCGTGTTCCTCCTCGTCGTCCTCCTCCTCTTCCCCCCCTCCGATCCTCCCCCTCCTCCTTTTCGTCGTCGTCGTCGTCGACGTCGTCGTCGCCGTCCCTTCCTCCTCCTCCTCCTCCTCCTCCTCCTCCTCCACCTCCTCCTCCTCCTCCTCCTCCTCCTCCTCCTCCTCCTCCGCAAGAGCAGCCCGCCGCAGGCGCCGAAAAATTTGGTTTGTACATTGAACGTGGTTTGGGTCGCGGGTGGGCCGCGGGTTCTCCACCGGGAACGAATGCAAAAGATGCCCGCCGCAGGCGCCGAAAAATTGGTTTGTACCCAGAACGTGGTCGTGGGTGGGCCGCGGTCTCTCCACCTAGAACGAATGCAAAAGATGCCCGCCGCAGGCGCCGAAAAATGTGGTTTGTACCCTGAACGTGGTTTGGGTCGCGGGTTGGTCGCGAGTTGATCGCGGGGTGGGTCGCGGGCTCTCCACCTGGAAGGAATGCAAAAACAGCCCGCCGCAGGCGCCGAAAATGTTGGTTTGTACCTTGAGCGTGGTTTGGGTCGAAGGTAAGTCGCGGGTGGGTCGCGGGGTGGGTCGCGGGTGGGTCGCGGGTGGGTCGCGGGTGGGTCGCGGGTGGATCACGGGTGGGTCGCGGGGTGGGCCGCGGGCGGGTCGCGGGGTGGGTCGCGGGTGGGTCGCGGGTGGGTCGCGGGTGGGTCGTGTCCTACGAATCCGCAAGAGCGCGCGGGATGAAATTTTGACATTTTTTTTGGAAAGCCATTGGTTTTTTTGATGTTTTTATGTTAAAATCGCTACGAAAACTAAGGTTTTGGAAGAATTTCGTCTTGCGCGCGCGAATGTCCACTTTACCTTATTTTTTGCAAGGGATTCTTGAAGTTTGGTTATGTTAGAACAAGAAATGTCAACTTTGCTTCATTTTGTGCAAGGGAAAACCGATCGTAACAACACAACCGGATCTGGTATACCCCGTTTTGCCTGAGACTCCCTCACGAAAATGATGAAAATGTGGCTGCGGCCTAGGCGCGGCGGGGGGGGCGCGCACCAGGGGTCCCAACAATAATATTTTTTTAGAATTAATAATGTTCAACAACAACAACAACACCAACAACAACAACAACAACAACAACACCAACAACAACAACAACAACACCAGCAACAACAACAACAACAATACAAATACCAACAACAACAACAACACCACCACCAACAACAACAACACCAACAACAACAACAACACCACCACCAACAACCACAACACCAACAACAACAACAGTAGCAGCAGCAACACCAACAACACCACCAACAACAACAACAACAACAAACAAACAACAAACCACAACAACAACAACAACAACAACAACAACAACAACAACAACACACAGCAACAACAATCAACAACAACAACACGAATCCGCACCGCGGAATCCCACTTCAGCCACGCACCCAGGGACAGTGAATGACCGTTCGGCCCCCTCACTCGGATATCTGTTTCCCGCCCCCAGACGTGGCCTTCTGGCCCAGGGTGCGCCTCAGGGCCTCGGAGGCGGCCCCGCGAGGCACCCCGCGGCATCGGCACGCGGCCCTCACTGGGAATCGCGCGGAGGCGCCGTATGCCCCGGCGCGCGCGATCCGCGCGCGCCGTTGGAGGGGGGCAGAAAAGAGGGGGGTGATGACTAGGGGGGGGTGGATATCATGGCTGGGGCCATGATATTTCCCCAGATTTCATGGCGCCTCCTCTTATTTCATTACGTCCCTGGCCCCCCCGCTGGGCCGCGCACATGCCGCCGGTCATGATTTGCACCCCCCCCTCTTGCACCCCCCCCTCTTGGCCGCTCCCGAATTGGAGGGGGGTCCGGCGCCGACGCGAGGAAGCCGGGCGGGCCTCGGAAATTTTCAGGTGCGTCGAGAAATGCAGCATAATAAAGAAATAGAGGTACAGGCAATAATGGATCTGCAGTAGTAACCACAACCATACTCCGAGTTCCTTCATGATAAGCGTGGGGGGGCGGGCGGCGCCCCCGCCGACGGCGCCACATGGACCCCCGTCGCGGGCAGCCGCTGCGCGCCGAAGGCGCTCCGACTCTCGTCGCAGCGCGACGACGAGGCGAGGGCGATCCCCGTCGGGGGGGTCCCCCCCCGTGCGACCCTTTGTTTGTATGATTACAACAAGGACTTTTTGATGGATTTCCTTGTGATTGGAACGCTATGTATCATCATAGGTTCTTCCTGGGCGCGCGCGCATATCGGTGCCCCTGCTTTTCTTGTCGTAGAAGAAGACTCTGGCATCGATGCCTCTCTTCTTCACTCATCTTCCTCCTCCTCCCCTTCCTTTCAATCGCAGTGCATCGCATTGCACTGCATTGCATTGCATGGCAATCGTATTCCATTGCGTTGCACTCGCACGGCATTGCAATCACATTGCATTGCTTTGAGGGAGGGAGAAGGGAGGGATGATGGGAGACAAACACGGAAGCTGAGGAGGGAAGGAGGAAGGAGGAGGGGGGGGGGACGGGGAGGAGGGAGGGCGAGGCAGGGAGGAAGACGGCGAGAACGGACGGAGGAGAGGAGGGAGGAGGATGGGGAGGAGGCAGGGACGAACGCCGCACACTTCCACAAATATGACATTTGAAAGGGGAAACGCTCGAGAACGTGGGTTCCAAGCACGGCGTGTCGTTCTCGACCGACAAGTTCGACAGGCTCGGCGGCGCGCCCATTGTTTTCTCTGCAGACCTGATGGGCAGATTGAAAGAAAAAGTAAACGCCGCAGACCTTAGTACGTGCAAGGACGGTCAGAATCGCTGGCGATGCCCGCACTGCCCCAATCGCCACTTCCAGCGTCTCGCATTCCTCGAAGACCATCACTGGTACCATCAGCAAGAACCTGTTCTTGGGGGCGCATCCGGTCGCCAGGCGATGGTGATCGAGAACATGGCGAAGATGGATCAACTACAAATCAACGTTTCCTTTTTGACGGGTGCCAGGCAGCATGGCGGCGAAGGCTACTTAGGACGCAGCGCCCAGCTTCTCCGTGATTCCGTTGGGGTCGACAATTTGCGGAATGCGAACGATGTCCGTGCTCACGTCATCCTCGACGTTCGCGGCCCCCGCTTTGCTGTCGACGACCAGGGCATCAGGATTACCCGCAACTACCGCGTCACTCCCGAGTTTTTGCTCCTTGTGGTGTCCTTCAACGATAGTCGCACGCAGAGCAAGTACTTGCGAATTCGGGACCGCATCATTGAACACTACATATCGCACGGTAGCGAACTGAGCTTCGCGGTGCCTACCATGAATACAGTGTGGGAGCAAATTTACAAGGCTGGGGTTCAGATCTCTGCGGCATATAAAAAGAAGTGCGTCGACGAGTTGAGCTTCCGCGTGATGTCTTTCGATTCATCATATAAATACACGCTAGCTGTGGTCGGGCAGACAAGCCACGGAAAGAAGAAG